TGTTTTCTCACTAGAAATTTTGGCTTTCCGGTAAAACTCCTTATCCGAGGATACAAATGAATGGCGACACGTACAAGGATTCCGTTGTCACCCGGTTTTTCCTTTGAATGACACTTTGAGGATTATACCTGTGTTCTTTCTCAAACCCCCAAAGAAGTTCCTGAAATTTGAACTCGGTTGTATAGAACCGGTTCGATGTCTTTTGATATTGAATCAAAATTTTATATACTCAGTATACTGGATTTTGAAAATTTCACTTGATGTGAAATATTTCCAGTTCAGGTAGGTCTAAAGTGAGTGGGTCTATTCGACCCTCCACCGCAACCCGCAAGGGTTTATTGTGGCTCACACGTATTCACACTCGGCCAAATAAACCCAGCTTCTCAACGGGCAGGCACAAAGTATATGCTCTGCTGTTTCATCATTTTCTAGACAGAGGCGTCACACACTGTCTTCTGACAGTCCAAGTATCTGCATGTGATGATTCAAATGACAGTGGCCTGTGAGAAGACCTGTTAGACATCGTAGTTCATCCCTACTGTAGTCCAACAACTGTTTGGAATCAAGCTTTGAAGGGTGAATAAACGCCTTGGAGTGAACCAATCCTGGAAGATTTTGCCAGAATTCCATAAATCTTTTTGCCATCCAGGTGTTCAATGTTTGTTTGGCAAAGCCCAAAGCGATACCAATGACACGTTCTGGTCCAATAAAGCCGCTTGCAGCACCCTCCTTTGTAAGAGAGTCAGCAACCCAGTATGGGCAGGAATCCATACCAGAGACAATTTGTTGGTCTCTCTATCGAGGAGCGTAAATTTCCGCTTGAAATACAGTCGCATAGGTTCCTAGGCAGGTAGATATCTCTGTCCTGGATCTACGACTGAAAACACCTGCACCAGAACCGGAAGGTGTTTTTGATCCATCTGTGAACCAACAACTATCTGCTCTTAATATTTCCTTCTCTGCTCGGGAATAGTACTTTATAAGGCAGTTCGTAGTTGACAGTTGGAGGCATAAAGTCAGAGGTGCACCAGTCTGTGTGCAGTCCATCTAGCCTCTCTTTCCAGAAAAATGTGGGGGGAAGGTAGATCTAGAAGGATACCCATGGCCGCTGACGGTGTGGTACTGACGCTTGGGCTTTTTTCTGTAAAGCCTTCGGTCACCAAGCAATTGCACCATAAGTGATTATTGGTCTGACAATCGTCACATAAATCCAATGGCTTTGTTTGGAACCTAAACCCTAAGTTTTACCACAAATCCTTCGACATGTCCATAGAGACAGTCTGGCTTTGTGTAAAACTTTTTTCGAGTGAGCGTTCCAGGTGACACTTTTATCAAGGACAATGCCAAGATATTTCACCTCTGTTCCAAATGGAATGACCACACCATTGCGGGAAAGTGGCTTTGGATCGTCCAATTTTCTTCTCTTGGTGAAGGGGAATAACACAGTTTTGCTGGGGCTGACAGACTTCTGCTCCCTCAGGCACCAACTGTGAACAACGTCCAGGATATTACAAGCTACCCTTCTCGACGTGGACCTTGCCAGGATGACAAGGTCATCTGCATACGCTGCAGATCAACCAGTCCAGGTACTCACCTCAGGAGAAATAGATATGTTTGATTGAAATCGATTAATTTTTTGACGTGTCAAAAGAATTGAAGCTATATTCACAATTGAGGAGACAGTTTGGAAGTTGCAGCTTTCATAAATGAAACGTCGACCACTGAAGAAAGCTGAGTGTAAAGATGTTGGTTGGATGGACACTTTTCAAATTGACACTGTGTCTGCTTTTTCTGCCACTTCTATGTAGTTTGTATGAAGATCTCGCAGAGGTTATGGTTATGCAAACACCCAATGATAATATTGTTGTTTCTGTATAAAGTGATCACTAAATAATTATTAATAATAGCCATCCATCATGACTACTTAGAATGCATGTAATCATAAGAATATTGAGTTGTCGACTATCGTTGACAGCCTGACACGTGATAATTATGCAATCATACCGTACCAGAAAATCTGAATTTTTTCAGATGAAGGTGCAAAACACTAATCATCCTGAAAGGTGTGTTTATCTTATTACGATAAATGCTTCAACCATATCACGCAATCGCTTTCGATTTGTAAGAGATTCATCACGAAATGCAAACACAGTAAGTTGCCTTAAAGTATGCATCATTACTCGGGTAAAAACAAACAACGTTTCGCCACTTTACTTCCTTTTTAGATGATTATATATAATTAAGTGATATAAGTCTGGCGAACTGACCAGAAGGTCAGTTTTTCATGGTTTCTCTGCTGGAATATTTGGTTTCCAAACAAACAATAACGACTTCATAATTTGAAAAGAGTCCTCGTGATAAAATTAGGTTTGTGATGAAGTGGTACTATCTTCATACTCGTAACGTGGAAGGAAAAATTCCTTCAAGACCCTAATTGTGTAACCACACCACAAAATTGTTTGTGAAGCATCAGTCTTCAAATTTACGAATTACAAACTTAAATTTCAGAACTTCAGCAGTTTTTCCGAAATAAATATGTGTTTATGTGTTCGAAATATAAACATAAATATTCAATTATCTCTGTCTCTCACACACTGAAGAAATTTTCAGAATTCAATTCAATCAGTCTTCAATAATCTGGTGAAGGAAGACCATCCATTTGGCGAAGTTTGTTTCAAAATTGATATATTGAGCAAATTGTCTCAAATAATTGCAAATTGAACACCTTCAACAAATCTTCATCATTATTATATCTTCAGTTTTCATATTTTAATATCTCTGTATTTCTCTCTTCAATTTTCATTCTTATACTTCAGGTCCATCACTACGTACTCCCACCTTCCCACTATCTTGGTCTCAGTTTTCCACCACTTCTCAGTTGGGTTTGTGTCCATCCCACTATTTTTTTATTCACCTTTCTTGATGACCCTCTCTATTTTAAACTTTGCAATTTGATCAGTTTCACTAATTTTTCATACCTCTCTTCTTTATCTATTTCTTTATTATATCTTCATCTTTTTTCACCTTCTGGGTGATTTCAGATCCTAGAATTGTATTTTTAGTCCTCTCAAACGTTATTTATTTTTTTATTCATCACAGTTGTGACGCGAGCTGATGACTGGCCCTATCAATATTTTGTATATCTTTATTTTTGTGCTTTCGTGAGGTTTGCTGTTTTGCTGCTTAAAGCTTCATTCCCTACAGTGATTGTTTCTTGTATTTTTTCTTTGATCACTCTAAATTCATTGATAGTTTCAACCATTGAAGTTGTCAGTTTTCAGCGTCTCTTTGTTGTCATATTTTTCTTACCTCCACATATTTTATATATGATTTCCGTGTTTCTTTGTTTCAGTTTCTAGTTCGTTTATTACTATGTTCTGTTATTTCTCGTTCAAATTTCATGTTTGCTTTCATTTATTTCGTTGTGATTATTGACAGTTTTCATTATTTTTGAAATCAATAAATACTAAGTGGACCTATTTGATGGAACTGGCCGATAATTGACAAAATCTATGTCCACCAGGCCTGTTCAATACTAACATTCAATATTGAACACTATAGAATAACTTCGTGAACTGATCTCTTGTACACGTGTCATATGGGTTGTTCAGTCTGACCAATGTACTCTTTGTCGCAACAAAGACAAAAATTTGTATTGTAAAAACTCTGAAATTCATTAATTGAGCTGTGAGATTTAAAACAGAGAGTTTGTTGGATAGACTTAACTGACTGTCAACACACGTTTCAAGGAACACTTGGCTTTCATTCGGAGGCCAGGAAAATCCAGAGTCATTCAACAGGCTTCGGAGATTGCACATGAAATGAATGAATATCACAGGCATGCAGACTGTAGTGAAACAGTCCATCTTTTGTGAACAACTTAATATTATCAAAACTTTTTGAAGAAATCTGCTGCTAATTTGTACTCAATAAATCATTGAATGATTATCAATAATATAGTTGCGGTGCACCTTTCAAATATGAGTAATCAAAATTCAGTGCTTGATATACTTTGTCCATACAAGCAACAGAGTGCTCCAAAACATTATCCCGCATAGTGCACGTGATCGCCCAAGCAAGGCTACTTGTACAGAGTCGCACTAAGGAACGACCCATTGTTTTTTAATGATATGCGGCTGGGTCTAAGAAATTTTTTAAGTGGAGTGTAGGTACACAAATTAGCAGTTTCATCAGTCGTATCAGTACTTGATATTTCGACAATTTCAAACTTTAAAATACCGTATTTGCACACACCACAGGCGTTTATACGTAACTTACCACTCCGACCCTGTAGCGATATATCTGAATGAATTCCGCCAGCCAATTGCAGTTGAATCTGATTGGCCAGCGTAAGGAGGCTTTGTGTGTTTTACCCAATAGATTCAAATGTGCGTGGTGATCACGCATCTAACATTGTTTGGGTTACTTTGTTTGTTGGATGGACAGAATTTAGACAGTTCATTTCCTGATGACACCAAACTGATTGATGAAAGGCAGTAGTTCTAGTGAAAGATGGCAGTGTTTACGTGGGATTTCGATACTTTATCGAGGAGAGAATAAACTTTGGTTTAACCATTGTATGACTTCAAAATTCAGTGCTTGATATACTTTGTCCATACAGGCAACAGAGTGCTCCAAAACATTATCACGCATAGTGCACGTGATCGCCCAAGCAAGGCTACTTGTACAGAGTCGCACTAAGGAACGACCCATTGTTTTTTAATGATTTGCAGCTGGGTCTAAGAAATTTTTTAAGTGGAGTGTGATCACGCATCTAACATTGTTTGGGTTACTTTGTTTGTTGGATGCACAAAATTTAGACAGTTCATTTCCTGATGACACCAAACTGATTGATGAAAGGTAGTAGTTCTAGTGTAAGATGGCAGTGTTTACGTTGGATTTTGATGATGATGATAGTATAAACTTCGGTTTAACCATTGTATGACTGGATATAGAAAATAAAACAAAGTATTCGTAATATCATTGTGTAATATGTTTTTCATATGTACATTCGACAATCAATATAAATATATAATATAATCATTTATATAATAAAACGATAACGTATTATGAATTTCATCTACAAACCAAATACGCAAACATCTATATACTCAATAAAATAATGTACGTCAACCATAGTTTCAATCATATTACAAATCGTGATATAATATTCCACCATTGGTAATATACTAAGACTACAATTGAACGAAAACTATGTGCATTTTCAAATTTGACTAAAATGCTTTTCTATTCGAATAAGCCAATCGTGTGTTCGATATAGCGGAACTATAATTTTTTGCATGCAAGTCGGAGAAATATTTTTCCACAGATCCAATATTCTTTCAAATGTGCAAAGATCACTCTCATATGAGTGGGCTTTTCAGAGGATTATACGTTAATGTGTAATTTAATTCCGTGATACTTATATCTCTAAAGTTCAAGCGGATTATTTATATGTTGAAGCTATTGATCCCAGACTTTGGATAACTTGAAAGGTTACTGGTTTGAGTATTCAATTAAATAACACAGTCTCGTCAAGGATGATAAGTTACATTCAGACATTCAAAGATGGATGTTGCTGGATATATTTGATGATTTCCAACATGTGTTGGGAATCGCACGTAAAGAAGGGAGACCTCGTTAATCTTCAACTCGCACAGGATTCGACTTGTGAGGATTGTCGTCCATAGGGAGGCCACATAACTTTATTCAAATATTGTCGAAGTACCAATTGTTACGGTGGTAACGCTTGTATTAGTGGAAAATAAAAATCATTTATTACATATTTCAGCGGTACTATAGTCAAAAAAAGGTGATTTTGACATAGAAATAAAGTAATTCTGGGGTTGTTAGGAACTTGATTTCTCAAAATCGTTTTTCATATGGAAGTTTTCAAATGTCAAATCTGAGTTTGAAAACAAATTCCATTCGATTGCACTCATAATATTCCAAAATAAATTTCGCATTACCTCCGCCAATCGAAACTATTTGTTTCTTGATCTGGTAGAAATATTAGTTCATTAACTGAGATAGAGGAAAGGATTCATTTATTGCTGATTTATGGAAAGTCATACGTGAAAATGTGTCTTAAAGAATATTTCTATTCGAAGTATCAAAATTTCAGCCCAATCAAAGTGACCTGAATACACTCAAAGTATTTTTTCTGGAAATTGAAAACTCCCAAAACGCGAAAGATGAGGAGATGTATCAATATCGCTTTGGAAAGGGATCATCTTCACTGATTTTGCCAAGCTAGTGGTATTGTTGATAGTGTAATGTAATCAGCAGAATAACAACAACTTGAGGTATATTGCAGTTTTGAACTTAATTTTCCATTAAGAAATTCATAAGTGCGGAATCACTAACAGAAAAGAATTTACGTATCGTTCGTTGAACCACCTTTGCCATTGTCATATTCTTGAGTTAGTTAGATAGCAACTAATGACAAACTGAAGACATCTTTCCTATTGAAATTGAACAAGATCTGTTATGAGTTAACAACAGCATTCAGAAAACGGAAAGTAGTTGTTTTATGTACCAGGAGCTGTCAGCCATAATATGTGGTCGATACATTCAATATATACAAAAGGATTCAGGCAGTAAAAGTAGTTGATGCAGTGGCTTGAATCATGATTTTATCAGAAATTAGTAACACTACTTCAACTCCTCCTAATTTGAGTTCCATGATACGAACAGAGATTAAGTAAAACATTGAACAAACTATGCTGAATGCAGATGAAGTTGAAGAAGAAGCAGAAAAATCAACTTGAGTAGTTTATGGGAAGAAGTTATCTTATTGTTTGCCTGAAATCTCATTATTCACAATAGTTTTTTGGTTAGCATACTGATAATCATCGCCACTCATCCTTGTGAACGACTATGGATATACTCAGTTTTAGTAGGGATGAGGCTCTAGGGTTTCCCTATTCTTTATTAAATTTTTGTTATATTTTTTCTGCTAGAATGTTCAAATTAACATCCAAATAAATGTTTTTGAAGTATGCAGTTTACTAGGATGAAATATCAAAAGAAAAAGTTACAATTTTCAACAGAATCTGTTATTATTGTAATAACGTTTTTACTGACTAGTACACATATTTTATTTCGTTTGGCAAAAAATTGTAGTTCCCAATATAAACCAAAATATTCGACACCGTTGTCGACAATAACATTGCCACTGAACATTTACAGCAAGTTCATCAGCCCGCCCTAATTTATCTTTGTACAATTATCCATTTCGGATAAGTTTCGTTTGGAGTACATGTATTTTTCTCTGGGTTGGCTACTCTGGACAGCTGTCATCAATATTTTTTGTCATATGTACTATCCAATTTGGCATTCTATTGCTCTTTGGAAGTTGTTTCCAGAGAATTCATCTTCCATTTAGTTTTCCTGATTTCTAATTTAATTAACATGACAACTGACACTAATGACAAATACACAGATTAGCCAACTTAGAAACAATACAGGTGCTACAAATGAATTTTCAATCAGATACGGTCCATATACATGAAAGCGAATAAATATACATAACATTGCATCAAATCTACTATTCACAAAGACTCCTCGCACCCGTAAGGCGAATATCACGTCAATCTCGGGGGGGAGAACGGCCGATGCAAGACACCGGCGTTTGGGCTTGGAGGGGCAATCCGCACGATCCCCCCGTGCGTGTACATCCCGTGGAGATTAGTATGCGGGGGCGGTCGACTGGGAGCGGTAACCTGAATCCTCAAGGGGGTGCTAATCGGGTTTAATTGGTGCCCCAACCTCAGTGGCAAGGGGGTTTCAATTTTCGCGTTTTCCATCCGCAAATTATCCGCTATTCTCAAGTTCATGGGCGGCGAGTGCTGCAGAGATGTCTGGGGTGGAGAGTCCATCTTCAGGGGGCTCTTTTCCGTGGAGTCCACATCGATGGGGCTCTCGGTGAGTCTCAGATTGACCGCTGCGTAGTTTGAGGTCGCACTGTCCACATTGATGGGTGACTCGGAGTTTCTGCCCTTTCCGCGGTCGATCCTGAAGTTGGGGGAGAAGTTCGGTGGGGTGTGGGTGCCGCCGAAGCGGAATTGCGCCGGCATGGGACCCGGGGAGTGGGCCCCGAAGCGGAAGGAGGTTATCGGGTTGGGGGAGGTGCGCCCAAAATGCAGAGGACCCGGGGAGCTGATCGGGGGGGAATGGGCTCCTAGAGATATGTCAGAGTCGCTGTCGGAGGGCGTGGGGCTCAAAGGTGGCTGTCGACCTGATCCTCCGTGGTGGGCGAGCTGGGCGGCCAGTTGTTGTTGCTGCATCCTGGAACAAGGATTGTAATTAGAAACATCATCAAAGCGGTTTGAGGATATGGAATATTATTTTTTTTGAATACTGCAAGAACTGTTTAATGTAGATGTAAAATGTGAGATGTAAAATGTGAGAGAAGGCGAATTGCTGTTTTTCTGGCTCATTGGCATTCATCAAAGCGGATGTGCAGCCGACTCCGTGCGCATTGTTTTTTTTTGTTTTTCGCAACGAGTTGTTGCCAGATGTTGCACTTGGCTATACCGCATTGATAGAGATCAATAAGTCAGAAAGAACGTCTACGATTTGAATTATTCTTTTGAGTGTTATGTTTGCGAATTCACTGCTTTTTGGATTACATGAAAGAGACTCTTGTCAACATCTTTCAGTATTATATTCCAAAATGTAATGCAATGAGTTATAACTACCTATGAACCAAATATTCATACCAAAAACAAAACAGGCAGAAAACTGTGAGGAAAACAAGCCGATGATGATCCCCGCCGGAGTGAGAGAGTGTGAGAGAATATTCAACTTTTCCTACAAAAAAACAATGAGGAAAGTCAAAATGAATAGGTAAGGTATAGTATATTCCAAAAAATATCGATATCTAATATTTGCTGATGAGCTGGCAATTGTATCCAGGAGCGAAGTATAATTGATAATAATTGTTGGAAGATTAGAAGAAAAATTAAAAGCGATTAACTATTTACGTCAGAATGACAAAAAAACAAGCTATGTGAAAGTATTCGACAAAATAGACCATTTTGAATCATGAGAATTATTATTGTTATTCAGAGCATCCACCTAATGTCAATTGAAATAGGAATATGGTGCAATTCATCAGTGCACCACAAATCATTGTCAACCACCTTGAAACAAAATAGAAATATACCCCGTGAGCCAAAATAAAAAAGTAATACGGTCAATAGTGTAGTTTACATCTGAGACATGGGTTTTGACAAAAAATTCAACTACTGATTTATAGAAAATACGTTCGAAAAATAAATCAGATACTGTTTTCATTCCTTTAACTCTTTCCAAAAAATCCAGTATCTAGTATTCAAATCCGAGGTTCATTTACCAAAATTCAAAATGGACAATCGAGTTAAAGTTGAATGAATATAAAAAATGTGATTTAATGAAACGTAATTTGTTATCAACAGTTATGTTATTCTTATTGACCTTCTACTTCTCCATCTTTATAAAAAATGTGTGAAACGCTTCCAAAAAAGAGAAAGAAGCAAGTAAATCAAAAATGAACTTTTCACAAAAAAATGTAGTGGCTCATTAGCCACTCACCATTGCCCGAAACCGGTTTGCAAGTGTGCAGTTCCAAAATTGAGGGTCGACTCTTTCAGTTGTATTGCCAATTGCATATGCAGGAAATTTTCTATGAATATCACTTTCATCTGTCACACTCAATACGAATTTGTGATTTCATTGTCATAACCGCTAAATCCCAAGTCATCATCTCTGACGTGACAAGCAAGCTGACAAGAAGAAGGGATCGCTAAGCCCGCCCTACGACTTTCTTTAAAACACTGTTGTAGGGCATTATTGAGAATTCCCGTCGGTCTAAAGTAGCCGGCTTATTACCGGGGTGTTTAGGCAATATCCCGCTGAGAGGGGTGGTCTGTTTGTGCTCCCTAGCTAGCCAGCAAATTACCCCTAAATACCATTGTAAAGGTTAAGACATCAACTCCTAACGGAACATAATCTCTTGATGATAATGTAAACGTCGAAAATCTCGGACGACGTTGAGATGTGTCGGAATGCAGACTCTCTTGACTTGAATATCTAACAAAATTCCTTCTTTTCAAACTATACTCTGTTTCCTAATAGTAATAAATGCTCGAACAAGCACAGCTTGTATAGGCCGGTTTCATTTCAAGTTTTTCAAGTTTTATTCGAGAATTGCATGTACAAAAATGAATATTACAATTTTTTTTTACAAAATGGGGTTAGATTTGCTCTCTGAGTAAAACCTACCTAGGCCTGTGTGTGTGTTTTATCCAGGGCTTTTCTAAACAAAAACTATTAGTATTGTACATACAATTATCTTAAAAATATTTAAAATATTGGCGGGCAAAGATTTACAAGATAAAAAAATATAAATAAGGAAGGTAATTAACTCTTATGTAAAGCATAACTTCAAAACACCTGTATTTTTACCAAAATTCTGAAAGATATTCGATGATTTGTAGGGGACAGTATATTTACTAACGTTGTATTTTATAAAAAGTTTCCTTGTTTTTCGGGTTTTTTTTTTTATTTCAGTTTTAAAATTTCTTAGTTTGTCAATTTTTTTAAAATGTACTGGTATTTCATTGTAAAATTTTGGACCGAAAAATAGAAACGTTCTCTGGCTTATAGCTTTTCTAAATGTATGTATTGCTAATTCTTCATTACTAGTTTGTCTGGTTGGTTGGACAGATCTGCTTCGAAGTGATTATTTAGTTGTGTGAACTCGAATTATACATTGATGAACATACAAAAGACTGATTGGTAAGATTTTTGTCTCTTCATATAGTAATTTTGTGGAATACTGTTTCTTTTTTCTGGATATGATTTTTATGATGGAATTTTGTATGACATGTAGAGGACGTAAGTTGTTAACGAAGGCTCCTCCCCATATTATAATACTGTATCTTAGAACGGATTCTACTAGGGAAGTATAAAGCATTAGTATTTTTTTTTAATTTAAACAAGAACCGCATCAACCACAGAGGGTTATTAGCGGGGTACATTACAAGTTATAATATACACACATATATAGATATATACACACATATATACGAACTTCATATTTGATTGTACACATCAATTTTCTTTATGAATTGTATGATTTTCTCCACATTGTTATTCAAAGTAAGTTTTATGTTCTCGCTGATGTTCATTAGTTTTCGTTCTTCATTGTAGTAGGGGCAGAGACAAACGATGTGTTCCACTGTCAACGGTGTTTTGTGAAATTCACATAATTTGGGAGTTTGTTTCTTGAATAAATGTTCATGTGTTATTCTGGTGTGACCAATCCTCAAACGAGTAGTTGTGATTTGATCTCTTCTGTTATTAATCGTAGGTGTAAAAAGTATGAATTTAGTTTTATCAGGTTCACCTTGTTTTTGTATCTCAAACAGGCCAGAAATGAAGATTTTATGATCGTATCTGCTTTCAAATATAAAATATCAGTATCTTTCAATCATTCGATAATCTTATTTTCTGTCTTTTTCTAATCGAAATCAATGATATGTGTCTAAAAATGTAGATACCTTGTTAGCAATTAATTGACGCCAGTTTAAGAGTTAGGAGTCTATATCTCACACACAGTTTGTTTTATTTAAATTTAAAGAATGGAAGCGCTTTATAAAATACCCTATAGTTACTTGTAATGCAATGTTTGGAACCTTTGGTGTAGTAAAAGAAGGAGTAGTAAAAGCAGTAGGAAAAGAATGAACGAAATCTCGACTTCTAGAAACGATGAAAACCAAGGTTAATATATCTCAGTTCCATACGACTCTTTCTTCAAATTTTTCCATGCAGAAATTCGCCATTATTGGGCTACGTGAACTCCATTAACTTGTTCATAAAAGGTTTTATTCCATTCTAAAGAAGAAGAAAATTAACATCGTTTTCAAACCAACTGAGAAAATATCTGAGATCAGCAAGAGACAGCAGAAATTCACTCAATTTGAAGAATCAAGAAATTTAAAAAGAGGTTAAAAACCAAGTTACTTCACATTTGGATGTAAGTATCCCCAATCGTCTCCGAAGACGAAATCTTTATTTTTTTAATTTGCTGCTTATTTGTATTTTCTATTTTTTCATTATTTTTCACTCTGAGGTCATTTTCATCTTTTATCTTGATTTTATTGTATTTTCATTTTACGTTTTGTTGCTTACATATAATTGATATTTTCTATAATTAATATTTGTTCTTTCAATAGATTTCGACTCATTAGAATTACTATATTAGACAATGGGAGTCCGACCTAGTAAAACTCAAAAAGAGTGTTCGTATATTCAATGTTCATATGAAAATAGTTATTTTGAAAGTTTATTTTTTCGTGTAATCCAATGTGTGTATGAAAGTAGATGTTTCGAGCGGGTTTCATCTTCCAGTTTGTGTCTGAAACTAACTTCTTTGCATGATCTACACATCTTTTTGAAGTGTTTATTTTAAAATTTATTGTTTTCTCTCTTTCTTCAAAAGACTCCCACATTTTTTTGTATAAAGATAGAGAAGTAGAAGACCAAAACCTTTCTTTATCTGAATTATTCATATTATAAACAATTCTATCATCAATACTGAATATTTCACAGATATATTTTTCCGGCCTGATCCTATGTTCATACGAGTATTATTCGTTCTAAATATTCTAATAAGAGCTAATTTCACAGAAATTCTCTAGGTAATTTTATTTATTGAACAATAGGAAAATTAGTACCGGAAAGCCAACTACGCAAAAATCACTTTCATCTGTCACACTCAATACGAATTTGTGATTTCATTGTCATAACCGCTAAATCCCAAGTCATCATCTCTGACGTGACAAGCAAGCTGACAAGAAGAAGGGATCGCTAAGCCCGNTGTTTTGTGAAGGTTTATAAGATAATCTGTAGTGGGTTGTGTATTAATCGTAGGTGTAAAAAGTATGAATTTAGTTTTATCAGGTTCACCTTGTTTTTGTATCTCAAACAGGCCAGAAATGAAGATTTTATGATCGTATCTGCTTTCAAATATAAAATATCAGTATCTTTCAATCATTCGATAATCTTATTTTCTGTCTTTTTCTAATCGAAATCAATGATATGTGTCTAAAAATGTAGATACCTTGTTAGCAATTAATTGACGCCAGTTTAAGAGTTAGGAGTCTATATCTCACACACAGTTTGTTTTATTTAAATTTAAAGAATGGAAGCGCTTTATAAAATACCCTATAGTTACTTGTAATGCAATGTTTGGAACCTTTGGTGTAGTAAAAGAAGGAGTAGTAAAAGCAGTAGGAAAAGAA